GTGGGGGGTGGGCACCTGGAAGGAGCTGAGGAACAGGTCAAAGAAGAGCTTGGCAAAGCGCAGGGTGCCCTGGGCATGCTCGTCCGTCACGAAGGCAAACACCACCTCGTGGACCCCCAGCAGGGGGATGAGGGTCAGCGTGGACTTGGCCAGCCTGTGGGGGCGGAGGCTGAGCCACAGGCCCTGGTGTCCCCACCCCACCCCGGCCCCAACACGCGCACCCACCGCGTGCACCCACCGGAATTTGTAGTCGGTATAGCGCATCTGGTGGGCTCGCAGTTTGGCCATGAGGATGTGAAGGATGCGGATGAAAATGACAAAGTTGATCTGTATGTGGAGGGCACAGCTCAGGGCAGCACCCGGGCCCCCACCTGTCCTCCTGAACGTTGGCCTCGCAGCCACACGGGGTCTGCCTCACGACCTGGTGGGCACCCAGCCAAGGGTGGGCAGCCAGGCCCAGGCCAGGGTGCTGGCTGCTGTCCTAGCTGAGTACCGGGGCCTCCCTCCCTGTCTGCCCAGGCAGGGTGCTGTCTGTCACCCCCAAAGGAAGGGGGCTGGGGGTCGACCCGCCAGCCCCGCACCCCTTCCTGGGGCCAGCAGGTGCCTCGTTTCCTCACCAGGATGGCCAGGAAGACGGGGAAGCGCGGTATCCACCAGAAGCCCATATTGTCATTGCTGGTCCAGCACCTGCAGGGTGGGGCCGGCTCACATCCTGGCGGCCCCTCAGGCCCCCCACCCCCGATTCCCTGGGGGTCTAATTAGTGGCTTGGGAAAGAAAGGGAGATGGTCATTAATGACCCCTATCGGGGCACCAGGTTTGCTTGTGCCTGTCACTGCCTCTGGCCAGAGACGTGGGGTGCAGCCCCGCTCTGGGCTGCGCAGCCACTCCCCCTGGGCCCAGCCCAGCACCAGGACAGGTGGCCGGGCCCATCCGCGGGTCACTCATACTCACTGGATGTTCTCAAACAGAGACTTGACCACGGCCCAGGGAATGACAAACAGCATGGGGGCGCCTGCAGGGGCAGCAGTTGATGTCTGCAGGCTCCCACCGGCCTGCACCTCCCCCACCCCCACACACCAGTTCACTCACCCCAGCCGATGCCCAGGTAGAGGGTGAAGAAGCTCCTCTCGGGGAAGGTGGCGAGGCCCAGCAGGCTGTGCAAGTACACGCCCTCCACCAGCAGCCAACAGTAGTTGGCCACGACGCCATACTGCATGAACACTGCAGCCACCCGGCAGCCAGCCACTGCCTGGCCACAGGCGGCGTGAGTGAGCTGGGGTCACACACCGGCCACCTGCTGCCCGGGGCGGGGACCGGTCTGGGTGCTCACCCCGTCACTCAGCCAGACGCTTACGCCCAGGTCATCACCGATCTTCTGGCTGTAGCGGGTCTTGAGCAGCGTGTCGATGACCAGCACGGAGCTGGCCTTGAGCACGAAGGACGCGAACAGGTTCGCGTGGATGTAGTTTCGGGTGCAGTGCAGCTTGCTGCGAGAACAGCGCGTCAGCACCTGCCCGCCTGCCACCCTGCCCGCTCGGCCCCCATCATGCGCTGGTGGGCGGTCTCGTACCTGAGGCCCAGCAGGATGGCCAGGGCCAGGAGCAGGGCCCCCAGCGAGAGGCAGTACCCCACTGTGTACATCACCTGGAAGCTGCTGTACATCTTGGCCACCTCCTTCTGCAAAGTGCAGTCGCTGGTCAGGCTTGGGCCAGGGTCGCCTCCCCCATCCCCCACCGGTCCGTGCTGCGCCCCCAACTGGCTCACCTGGACCTCAATCTCGTCGTCGTCCATCTGGCACTGGGAGGCATTTCGCCACGACTGCCCCTGGGGTCCACGCACCCACTGCCCGTTGGGCCCACACCTCTTGTAGACAAAGCGGTGCTGCACTGGGTGGGGGGCAGGCTCTGGTCAGTGCCCCACCCCACCAGGCCCTGCCCACCAACTCCCCACAGCCCACTGCAGTTACCTTTGTGGTACCAGGGCAGGTACCAGGGGCAGGAGATACTGGCCGTGGTGTTGGGGGCCGTGTCTGGCCAGCAGGAATACTTGTCGAAGGTTCTATTACAGACCAGCTCTGCGGAGGCAGGAGTAGGGTGGGGGGTCCTCAGCCGTGCCCGCACTGCCCCCTCTCACCCCCCTACTCAGAAGCCCCCTGAGCGTTGTCCTCTGCTCCCCGGGATTAGCTCTCCCCAGGGTCTCTCCGACCACCCCACCTGCCCTGGAGCACAGACCCCCTCCCGCCCAGCCTGGTTCTGAGCTCCAGCTCTGCCCAGCCACCCCACCTTGGACACATCGTGTCTACAACTTGTCCCAAACCCACCCGGTGTCCACTGGGTTTCTTCCCAGTGCCCTTCTTGCAGCACCTCCCTCTCTGGAGGCTGAACCCCAATTCTGCTGGCACCCTTCCTGGGCCCAGCCAGCACCAATTTTGTGGCCCACGTGCCTGCTCCCCTCTGCCCTGTGCAGGAGCCCTCTGCCTGGGCAATGGCTCAGCCTCCCAGGCAGCTCCTCCTGCCCCGTCTCTCACTGCACCCCAGTGACCGGCCTGAGCCCTCTGCATTCTGGCCCATCTCCCTCCCGCCTCAGGCCTTGTGCGGTCTGCCCACCCCTCTCAGCAGCCTCCCCGCTACATACTACCCACTGGGTTTGAGCTCTGTGAGGGCAAAGATGGTGTCCCCACCCTGACATGGTTGGGCGACCAGCAGCACGTGAGGGCACGAAGCACCCCAGCTCTGGGGGTGGTTCTACCATTTCTTTTATTTCCTGGCTGTGTGGCCTTGTGCAAGTCACTGGCCACTCTGTGACTCAGTTTCCTCACCTGTAAATGGGGGTGCGGGGCAAAAGCATAGGAAATGGACTCGGGCAGCAGCGGGGAGCTCACCGGTGGGAGGGGGCAGCAGGCTCAGGTTGTGCAGACACTGGTCACCGTAGAGCTTCCACTTCTCAAACAGGAAGTCCATCACCTGAGCGGAGGGGGCCTCTGGCTGAGGGACACAGATGGACAGGCAGGAGGTTCAGGCAGCACGAGGGGCAGGCGGCAGGTGGGGGCAGGGGCGGGGTGCCAGGTGGGGGCTGGCGCTGGCTTACCTGGAAAGCCAGCAGCAACAGCAGCAGGAGGTGGGGGCGGTGTAGCCAGCTGGGGGGCATGTCTCTGGGCTGCCGCCCCCCACATCTGGCTGGGGCTGCACAGCTGGGGCAAAGGGGTCGTCTTCGTGGGCACAGGCGCTCCTCCTGGGGCTGCCGAGTGTCTGAGGAGCAGTGCCCGGACAGAGACCCCTAGGAGTGAGGAGACGCAGCTGGGCTCTGCTGTGGCCAGCAGGGTGTCCTGCTCCCCTAAAACCACCCCTCTGAGCCTCCGGGTCCTACTGGTGACGTGGGAGCTGGAACAAAAGTAGTTGCTCTTTGCCAGTAGGTCCTGCCCACTGCCTCCCCTGTGAGGAGCGGGGTTCCCACGGCCTGCAACTGTCTGTCTGGCAGGTCTGACAGCACCCTCCCCTCTGTGCTGGTGGCAGCCACCATCCTGCCAGGTCCCAAAACTGTCGGGGGTGGGGGAGCAGCGTTCCTAGCTGCCCGCCTCCTCCCTTCAGCCCTTGCAAGCCCCACCTATTCTTAGTCCCTGGGAAAGTCAGCTTGCCCCGGCCGGGCCAGGGCCTGTGCCATCCATCACTTCACCCCCAGTGCTGTTATTATCGCGGTGGTCCCAGGCCAGCTCCCAGCCTTGCCAGGGTCCAGGAGTGCCGGGCACATGCTCAGGGTGGTCCCTGTCACACGCATGCCCCCTTTCCCAGGACTGAAGTGTCTAGGTGCCCCCTGTGCCCCACCCATGGCTCAAGCCAGGCTTCCTGGGTCCCGTGGGGGCACAGTGTGCAGGCAGCTGGCAGCACATTCCTTTGAGATTAGCACTGCCAGCTGCTGGGCCCAGACGGGGACCCCTGCCCTGTGCCTGCGGGGAGGGGGGCAGTGGTGCCTGGTCCTGGGCTGGAGCCTGTCTGAACTGGAGCTCTGGGGCAGCAGTGGCCCCATAAATCCTCCTTTCATTGCTTCCAGAGCCATCTTTTGCTGTGACTGAATTCCAGCAGGGCAGCAGGGAGAGGGTTCCCTTGGGGCCTGGGTGCAGGGTCACCCAGAGCTGTGGATGGGCCCTTCTCTGGGCACCCTGGTGCAGAGTGAGCAAGTGATGGACAGATAGACGGATAGACGGACGGCAGGGCCTGGGAGAAGCGAAGGAGAGCGGAGTACAAGCTGCAGCTGAAGGTGGAGGGTGTCAGGACACCCCAGATTTCAGGACACCCCAGATTTCCGCTTCCTCCCATCAGTCCTGCTGGGTCGGTCCTCATGGGGCCAGCTCAACCAGGGGCCTCCCTGAGATTCTCCCCTCACCTCTAAGGGAACCTTGACATGCACCACGAAGGGTGAGGGCTGAGGGACCCAGGGCGGGCGCCCGGATCACAGTCTCCTCTGGCGCCTGGTGAGGCAAGCCCAGCCGCAGACCCTGGTCCCCAGCCCCCGAGCCAGGCGAGGAGTCAGGCTTAGGGCTGACTCCTTAGGAGCCAGAGTAGAGGGAGCTCTCAGAGGAGAAGGCGGCAGGCAGGTGGAAGACGGGGTCCGTTCCGGTGTCCCAGCCCTGGGGTCACCCAAGGGGCTTTATCTCCTCGTTCTGATCAGGCAGCCCATCTGCTGCCCTGCCCCCACCCGCCTGGGCCCCTGAGCTTGGTGAGTAAGGAGCAGTGAGGAGCAGACCTGTCGCCTGCCTGCTGCACCCAGCTGCTGGTGGAGGGAGAGAGGTGGGTGGGCAGGCTCAGGGGTGGCCTGAGAAAGCTAGAGGCTCCGGGGACAGGGGAGGGGGAGAGTGACAAGGGCTGGCTGGGGCGGGGTGGACAGTGGAGATGGAAATGGGACACGGAAGGACACTGCCCGATAAGTTGTTCCCTGCCCGGAGGCCCTGTGGAGGGAGAGGGGGCTGCTGCATGGCCAGCAGGAGCGCCGCTGGAAACTGACAGCTGTTGACAGCCCAGCTGGAGCATGGCGGCCGGGCCAGTCTGCTGTGTCTCAACGGCCAGTCGTTGCACAGCTGGGAGCTTACCTGGACAACCTGGCAGGGCTTGGAGAACCCAGTGAGGGGCTGTGTGGGAAAAGGATGGGGGCCACACCGGGGCTGCTCCAGCCAAGCTGCCTGCTTTCCAGCCAGGGGGTCCATATTTTGGGCACCACAGAGAGATGTAGGACCCAGGGGAGAGGGAGAGAGGGCTACACAGCCCTGGGCCCCTCCTTCCCTGCCCCTCGCAGGGCAGGGGAGAGGGGGCTTTCCACGTCCCCCACTCTCACCCCTGGTCCGGCAGGTGATGTTAGGAATCAGCGTGCACAGATCACAGGCTGTGTACCCCAGCTCGAGGCACCCCTAGCCCCAGGTCCTTAGGGGTCAGGGCCTCCACACCCCCCAATACAAAAGGCTACAGATGATCCCCATCAGGTATCTGGTGGAAACGGGAGGGCAGTGTGGGCGAGTCCTCTGTCCCTTTCTGGGGAGTGTGGGCAAGATTTCCAGACACTTCTCTGAATAGGGGTGGGGGTGTGCAGTGACTTCCAGCTATACAAAGCTGAGGTTCTGGGGTCCCTGCCCTGGGTACCCAAGTATGAGGCTGGCTCCACTTGAGGGCGACACTGCGACACCCAGTTCTGGTCCTGGGACCAAGGGAAATACTGTAACCTCTCTGAGCCTCAGTTTCCCCACTTGTAAAGTGGGAATGCGTGCCTCCTCATCACCGAGGAGTAAGTGAGCCTGCTACCTGAAGGGAAGGACGGAGTGACGGAGTGTCACGTCCGGGCCCCCTCCTTGCCATGGGGACACTGAAACCCGGCAGCCTGTCAGCCCTGGGAATAAGTATTTGCTGAATGACACGAGGCCTGAACCGGGGATGACCAGCAGCCAGAGGCAGAGGGGCCGCTCTGAGGCTGTTCCCACCTTGTCACCCTCCCAGCACTGAGCCGGTGGGGAGGGGCATGACTGGCCAGGGACCAACACTTCTCCCTTCAGGGACCAGGTGACAGAGCTCCCTCTCAGGCCCTGGACTACGGCTGCACCAGTGTCAGCCCAGGAGCGGGGGCTCAAGTGGACAGAGGCAGGGGGCTCTCTGCAGGGGGGCCTGCCCCCGGTCCCCAGCTCACCCCTCTCCCCTCTTTCCCAGCCCCCACTCCTCTCCTGTGGATTCACCCCACCTGCCCCACCATCTGCTGGGCTAACTCCAGCCCTGCCCATGCTTGGCAGAAGGCACCACTCCTAGGCGCTCACCGCTTGGCCAGCGTCCCACCAGTTTCCACTGGGGATGTCGAGGGACTCCCAGACCTGCAGCTGAGCCAGGGACCCATAGGATGGGTGGATGGCCGGCCCATCAGCCAAGGGCGGCAGTTGCGGCCACCCCCCGCTGGCTGCAGGATCCTGGCGGATGGGATTCCCCACCTCTGAGGTGTTTTTGTGCAACCAGGGCAAGTGGTGAAAGGTCACTGGCCGGGGTGGATGGGGGCACAGGCTGTTGACAAAGCCTGAATCCCGCGTCCTTCACCGCCCCCCCTCCCCGTGGGGGCGGGGCGGACCTGGACGCCGGCCAGGGTGCAACTCCCCCACCAACCCTTATTCCTCAGCGCCGAGGACGAAAAACAGCTCGGGCCCGTCCTCAGTCCTCGGTGGATGTGGGCGCCCAGACGTCCCGGGTCAGTCGCTTCAGGAGGCAGAAACCCGCGGCGGAGAAGCGGGAGTGGGGACACTGGGGCGACCGAAGCAGGGCAGGGAGGGTCAAAGTGACAAGCGCGGGCCCGCGGAAGGGCGGACCGGGCGGGGTGTGACGCCCCTGGGCCCCTCCCGGGGAACTGGATATTGCTGGGGGCGTCCTGGGAGCGGGGAGGACCCCGCGCCCCGAGCTGCGTGCGAGCCCACTGGGGGAGGAGCGGGCAGGGGTGCCCGAGGGAGGGGTTCGGAGCGGAGCGGGGCGGAGGGACCGAGTGCCTGGCAGCCACCGACACCCCTGCCCCGGGTCGCGCTCCCCGGGGAGAAGAGCACCCCCACCCCGCCCGACCGTCCGAGGCGGACAGACGCGTCCAGGAGTTCGGCATGGAGGTGTCCGATGGGGGTGAGGACGGCGGCCCCAGGATCGCCCGGCCCACGACAGGGGTCCCCGCCCACCAGTCCCGCGCTCCCCACTCTGCGGGCCCCTGGCCCGGCCCGGGTGGGCCCCGAAGCGTCCCCTCGGGTCGGGCCCCAGTGCTCACCGCGCCGCTCGGGTCCGGCTCCGCGCCCGCGCCCCGCGCCAGCCGCGCGCAAACTTTCCGGCGGCGACGCTGGGTGGCGGTGGCGGCGGCGGC